AACTTTTACCTTCAGCTAACGCCAGTAAAGCTGCTGCCGCCGCTGCCTGCGACGCGTGTTGTAGACGCCTCGTCTCCCACGCCACACCACGCCACGCCACACCACACTCCAGCTCCGCCTCCAGTTGTTGGCTCCAGAGATGCCACCCATTTTTAATTTATTTCCACTTAAAAAACGAAGTGCGCGACGTAAACGCAAGAAAAGAAGGCCATGGGCATAGGCTCAGTCGCAGTCGCAGCCCCAGTTCCAGTTCCAATCCTCATCCCTCAGTCCTGCAACAGAGCATCCTCAGCTCGCATCCTGTGCGTGCGTCCGGTGGAGCGGCTGCGGCTGCGGGTTTGGTTTTGGTTTTTTTTTCTTTTTTTTTTTTTATATATATATATTTTTTGTGTGGTGTTATCGGGTGGTCGAATGGTTGGTTGTGGGTTGATGCCACGCACACCACACAGTGGCAATATCCTCATCCGCCCATCGCATGCTCAACGGCTGCCGGGGTTGGGTTGCCATCCATATTTTCACTTATCACAGCTCCCATTCTACGGCCGGCTTCCTGTTTTCCATGCCGCGGCCCAAAAAACTTAAATCCGCATGTCGAAAGCGATTAAACAGTTACCGTGTGGCTTCCCTGGCTGCTGACTGGGACTCCTGAACTGCTGCTGGCTGTTGGCTGCTGGCTGTTGGATGTTGGCTGCTTCTTCATTTGTTCAGAATTAAAACAAAAGCAGCCAAAGGATAAAATTAGTCACTGTGGTGACAGTAATTCAGAGCCCCTCTCTCTTCCCCTGTCTCATTCACTCTCTCATCCTCTCCCTCCCTCTCTCTCTGTCTCTCTCTCTCTCTCTGTTTGTGCCACTGTGCAGCTATATGCAGGAGATTAAACGTTGGAGTTGAAGTTACCACTCCCGTTGTGGGAATTCGTTGCGCCACTCGGCAACAACTGTGCAACATTCGCCGTCGGCTCTGTCTGGTGATTAATTGCAATTTAAACGGTTTCAATTAAGCCAATGCGCATCTTTCTGCAGCACAGCAGCCCAAAACAGGCGCAAGCACTTTCCATTTTCCTTTTTTTATTTTGGATATTTGTAATATCGATGGAATTGATGGTATTGATAGACAACTGCTGCAGCTGGGGTTGCCTCGAGATTTGTACACCGTTTGATGACTGATTTTCTATGTTGAATTGGCTGCTGTACATAATTGAAAGGAACTACACTTGGATATGTGATAACCTTAAATAGATGTTATCAATCCGACTCGGTAAGCTGCGCTCAACATTGTTGTATATATTTTTTGAATGATTTTAGTAGATTATTTTGTAATATTTTCAGAAACATATGCCTACAACTGTCATTAATTCACCCTCTGTGCATGTGCAAGTACTTGCCTCTATTATGGTAACCATCAGCGCCATGTTACCGCCCCCTTTTGAGCAGTTGTTGCCATGGTCAAGGCACAACAATTCCAGCGAGTGCAGCCACAAGGATTAATTTCTAATTTCGCCTAATGCTCCGCCAAGTGTTTCAGTGTTTCAGTTTGTGTTTGGTGTTTGGTGTTTGGTGCGTTGTTTACATTTTGGTTGTCGTGTTTTTATGTTTTTGTCTAATTTACCTTGATAAAATGATCCCAGTGCCAGTCGTAGTCCCATTTTCATTTTCATTTCCATTTCCATTCGCATTCCCAGTGTTTGTGTCCCTTCCCATGGCCCAGTTGCCAGCTTGCTCTGCCCTACCCCCAGGCTGTCTCTGTCTCCGTTTCGGCCTCTAAATGCAGCCAAGTCCGTGGTCTCTGGTTAGGGCTGTGGCTCTAGCTTGGCCTTCGGGCCCACATGCTTGCCACCATCATTAATCATGACGTTTCAGCTCTGACACATTTGCCCGATCGGCAGCAGCAGCAGAAGCAGCAACAGCAGCAGCAGCAGCAGCAGCGGCAGCAACAGCGGCGGCCACTGCGGCGGCGGCGGCTACGCACTATTGTAATGAAAACGTTTTGAAAGCCCTCAGACTGACGTCTGCCACGTCGAGACGTCGGGGTCCGGCCAAGAGAGTCAGAGAGTCGGACGGACACACAGCAGGCCTCCGGACGAGGGCGACGACACGTTGATAGACAATGAAGTCCACAGATGAGCAATTCGAAGACAAATATTTTCATAATGCGACCACAGCATACACACAACACACAACCCACAAGCCAAACAACCCACATGTAAATATTGGCTCACTATTTACAAACTATTAGCTACAGTTAAGGACAGACTAATTGTAGATAAGAGCTGTAGCAGAAGACAAATCGTAGCTAGGAAGGAGTCTGATGAGGGGGCTGCGCACCTTTAAATGCAAAAGAAAGGAAAACGAGGAACTTGTTGAAGTATTTTTGTAAATTAATTAACAGACTGTTCACTCTCACATAATAAATCGTTCAAGTTCTTGATTTAGGAGTTAGGCTGAATTAGTTTAGTTTAGTTAATTGATTTAAGAACAGGAGCAATGAATATGAGCTGTAAGTCCTTTACTCAAATCTATGAGCTATCAGCTATATTTGAAATAATATTGATTGAGTTATGGAGAATTTAGGATAACAAAATAATTTCTTTTATTTATAATTTTGATTATCTGGTCTACAAATTTAGAGCATGTCCCAGTTCACTAATATATATTCAATATTTCATACTGTATGTTTTTGCATAACTAATATATGGAAAATTAGTCATGTTATCAACTTGTGTACATATTTACATATGCTCCTGGCACAAATGTATTTACTGTTCCTTTGCCTCGGCGAATGAGCAGCTAGCCAATGGGACAAAACTCGTAATACCCTGTGGTATATGAAGGGTGGAAGGGGTGGAACAGGATAAAAGAGCATATGCTACTGCTGCTACTGCTGCTGCTGGTGGCTTTGGCACTGTGCAAGCGATACAATAATTGCTCTGGGCTGTCGTTCACATCGTCATCGTCATTGTTGCGGCTTTGGCATGAATTACAAAAAATAAAACTATACACATATATATAAATATATATAAAGAAAGAAAGAAAGAGCAGCAGCAACAAAAATGAGTACAACTAAACAAGAATTCAGTATACAAAGCCGCCATTCATTCCATAGCCGGTGTTTGCAAACACACACACACGCACACACACGCACACGCACACACCACGCCGTGTGTTTACACACACACGACGCTGTCATGCAATGGTCACAAGAGGGAGCAGGAGCTGGAGTTGGAGCTGACCAGGCTAACGTGTTCTGTTCGATCAGACAACGACGTTGGCAGCACCACCACCACCAAGAAGGTGAACATTGTTGTTGTTGTTGTTGTTGTCATTGTATATGACCAGTGTGTGTGTGTGTTTGTGTATGAGTGCCTCAATCATGTAATTATTTCCTCCGCAACCGCTTTACCAATACCGACGCGTCCGGGCAGAAAAGTGACCAACACATGCACAGAGCAGTCAACAGCGACAGCGACAGCGACGTCGACAAATGATATTACAAGTGGGGCCAAGTTGGAAGGCATTGGAAATAAAAAAAAAAATAAATAAAAATAAAAAAACCGAAACTGGTAGCGTGTTTCGCTTTGAGTTTTGTTCTCTCTTTGTATTTTTTTTTTAACGCTAAGCAAACAACAAAACCGAAACACAACAACTGGAGAATCAAGAAAGAATATGTGACTTTTAGAGAGTCGAAGATAATATACCCTAAAATAGGAACACAAAAGGACGTCAATGGTAGGTTTACATGAATTTGATTTTTGGCTCTATGTCTCTTAACATGAAGATCTTTGAAAGTGATGTCAACGCTTATTGTGTACGAAATTAAAAATATTTCAATCATTCGATAATTTTCATATTGCGAGCTGGGATAAAATCAATCACTTTAAGCCCTTTTATATATAGATTTTGTACATTTTAAAACCTTAACTTGCCTCGCTTACTCGACGAACAGATTAAACTTGTTATTCAAATCCTTAAACTAGTTTAATCAGGTATTAATAAAAAACACTTGCATACTTAATTCCCAAGTTGCTTAGCCTTAAGCAAGAGTAGAAAACTTACAGCACACAGACAAAAAACACACACACAGAGCACAGTCTAAATGTATGCACACACACATGTGGCACAGACCTACATGCAAGAATATATGCACATGTATGTGTGTGTGCATGAATATATATATATATATGTTTGTGTGTGTGTGTGTGTGTGCGTTTCGTGTTTTTGTTACTCAATTTAATTCAGGTAAAATATTTTTTATCCATGCCCGGAGCGCGCTTAAGCTTTGGTCACGAACATGAAAAAGCGTCGTTTCCGTCGAATTGCTCGAAAATTGTTGACGGTTGATTGGTTCAGTTTTTAGCTGAGCCTCAAGCAGAGGCCCGCTGTCTAGAGTCTAGACGGAGACGGAGCTGCTTTCAATTCAAAATGGCAGCCAACTAACTTTCCGAATGTGAATTTGGAATACGAGTAGAGCAAAATGGCTTATGGCATACGGAGAAAAAAAAATGAAAGGAAAATTTGCAGTTCCCAAAAACAAAAACCAAATACAAAAAAAGAAATGTAATTATGCTTATAATAATTTCACTTCTTAATGCTTTTATCTTTACTTTGCAGCTTGTGTTGGCCCATGAAAAATAATAGCAAAACAAGGCTGAGAAACTACCAAATGGAACATTCAAATTGCCAAAACGAAATGGCTTAAAAAGGTAGCTGTTTCATTTGCGGCTCTTTACATAACCTTCGCACACTTTTAAGACGGGGAGTATAGAAAAAAATACGTGTATTATAATAACATTTAATCATGCTGCGGTTTCTGCCATCATTTGCAAAACCAATTTTTGTATTAATCCTGGTTTATTTTGTAGCTGTGTATATTGTTTGTTAAAGTTTTGATCTTGGGAACGTTTCGAACTCAAACGAATGCAATTTGCTGTACTTATCTATATAGCCAATTTAATATGTTGTGGTTTTGATGTTGCGCAATGAATATAAGCAATTTGTACTTACTTATGGAGTTATCACCTGAAAATAGAAAGAAAACGAAATCGTTTATCAATTGAGTCAGAATTAAAGGTCAAATTTAAATGTTTACTCATTTTGATATACAAATAAAATGATATATTTCAACATAAACTATTAAGTTTTCTAATTGTTTCATAATGACGTTGGTTAGATTTTTTTTTTTAACAGGTTAGTTGCTTTGGATAGAGAAAATGAAGTACATAATTTGAACCTATTCGAACCCAGTCTTGTTGTTCAGTAAACTTAGATCAGTTGGACCTAATGTTAAAGGTCGTTCAGAGTATTTTTTTCTATAGATCGATTTAGTTAAAGTTTTTTAACATCTGATACGAACAAACAGAAAATATGCTACATTCTTGCTCAGCATTTCACTGAAGACAGCGTTGAAAGTGTCTTGGCTTATATGAAAGTTGCTGTCGAGTTTAAATAGCAAAGTTTGAGTCTATTTACTTACTCGTAAGTAAGTATTATGAAATTGAGCACAAAAGTGGAAAATAATTAACCCCAAACTTGGTAGCGGAAGTTTCAAGTTGTTGCTGCTGATGCTGCATGTGACCAGACCCAGAGCCGAAGCCAGAGTTGGAGCCACTGATAGAGCCAGAGTCGAATGGGGCAACACATGCAGCACGTAACGAGCGGTCAAGAAAGTGGCCGTGCCGCTTCCGGAGTCAGCGACATCAGCAAAATACTAAACAACTTGCGAGCCATGTAATTGAGAAGTTTCCGACGTTCGATACTAGAGAAAAACCTTTAAGCTACTCGCAGGATGTTGTCTCCAGTCTGCCAGTACATTGTTTGCACAAAAATGAAGAAAGCGCCCAACCGAAATATCAAAGGAGTAATCACTCGGGGTTCCAGAATCGAGGGGATGAAGCTCAAGAAAATAAAATCATGCGGTTGGAAATAATAGCGTCTGGGCTGTCAGTCAATTCTGGTTGGGGAGTGGAGCCAAGCTTATGCAGTTTCACAAGCAAAACAGTCAAATATATTGAGATTTTTGCCAGCAACGGGCAACAGCTGCGTGATTAGCAACTATTTCAATAGATAATAAGAAAATATGAGTATTTATATTTACTGCAGCTACCCCAGACTCAGGCATATGACTGGCATTTTGATGTGGCAATTTAAGAATTGCTTATTCTGCTTGTAGCTTCAACATTGCACATATGTACATAGTATATATGTTTGAGCTTAAAGATATAAAGGGTCATTTACTAACTCGATTCGTGTCACAATTCTAACAGCTTGGGAAAAGCGCTATATAATAATCTGTGTAGACTTTTATTTTATTACGGCAAAATATAGGATATAGACTCTGTTGAGCTTAAGATTTCTGCTTTCCTCAATTCACAATCTCCCATTTTTTAAAGTATAAAATTAAACAAAGTCCTTCGCAAATGAATTTCTTAAATGATTTACTTTAATTATAAGAACTGATTTTCAAACATGCTTAAAGACCATTTGCCTAATTGAATAAGAGAATTCGAAAAATGCGTAAAAATGTAAGTGAACTTTAAAGTTGTTTTTGGTGCGGTGTGGAGACCAAGTAGAGCCAGCTCGAACCCAGAGCCAGAGCCAGAGCCAGACGCAGACGCAAACGCAGAGCAATGGCAACGCCTTGGTCAGCTCAAAATGATACCGTTGTTGTTGTTGTTGTTGTTGCCCCGTAGCTGACTGACAGTAGGTGTGACCAGTCTACTCATTCATTCTGACAGTTTTCCCACCCACTCTTGCACAAAACGCAATTTGTTGGATTGTAGGTTGTGCCCTCTAAGCACGAAAGGTAAAAGTACTGGCCATATCTAAGTGTGCGTGTGTGTGTGAGTGTATGTGTGAGTGTGTGTGTGTATGCGTGTGTGTGTGGTTGTGTACGAACCACCACCGCTGCCTAGAGGCTTTGCAATGGCATTGACTGGGCGGGGGTAGTTGTTTGTGGCGCCACAAACAGCATTTTTCGCAGTTGCCAGTCGCGTGTCTCTTTTGCCTCCTTGAAGTATTTGAATATTTTCTTTGGCTCTTTTCGCTTTTTGTTTTTTTTTTTTCTAATTTTTTTTTGTGGGCTGCGCTTGCAACTAATTTTCATTTCCAGCACAGTGCACCTTTTCGAAGCAGAGACAGCGGCAGACGTTGAGAAATCTTATTAAAAAGTAAACAGTGCGATAAAATTGAATTTGCATTCAAAAGCCATTAACCGCAGCAGTTGCTGCTTGTGTTGTTGTGGCTTTTGCCGCTGACAGACGTTGTGTCCTTGCAGCCAGAAATTAAACGGGATGTAAGAAAAATGGCTGAGCCGTAGCTTTAATAAATGGAGGCAGTTCGAAATTCGATTATGTAATATCTGTATTTAAAAATCGCGCTGTGAAATTAATATTTCACGCACATCAAACAAAATCAGCAACAGCTGTTTTCCCGCTTAAACGAGTCAGGGCCTTTCGCAATTCAGGCCAGTTCAAATGAATGATTTATTTGTTGTTGTTTTTTTATCTTGTATTTTCAATTGGAACGTGCCATAGCTGAAATCGATGCTAAAATTATTATATAATCTATGTGGGCGCTCATGTGGAAAAATATTATATTTTAATTGCATAACAATTTCACGCACTTTAGCAAAATCATCGCAATTATTCGAACGGCAATTTGTCCAATGATCTGAACGATGCGTTTATTATAAACACCCACACAAATCGACATCCCCCATTCCTGGCATCCATTTTTATGCCAATTGACATTCAAAATTGGATCTAAACGCTACCCAATTACACAGCGCATGGGAGCATGTAACCATGGAGGTAACCGCCAACGGTTCGGGGAGTCTAATGTGTGTATGTATGAGTACAATTGGAACTGTTTGATGGTTAATAAATTGCCCACTTATTTCATTTTTAACTGTTGTCCATGTACGAATATCAATTAATAACTGCCGCCATCGCTTAGTTGTAATTACACTCGATATTCAATACTCGAGCGTGTAATTGCATTTGAACTTGTCTGTGTTTTCAACTACCAGTTATTTATTTATGCACAATGAATCGCTTGATTTAATGTGACAACATTATCCATGAATGTATCTATAAAATGCAACACGATTTATGGCTGCATTTGTTGCGAGAAAATTGGCGTCAGTTTCAACTGCTGTATTATGTCTGTGATGGGCTTGCTGATTTTAGTGTGCTTAACAAAATCTGTTTTTTACCCGATCTTAATGAAATTCTTACCGGTATTCAATAATATATTCAGGAATATTCTTTATCTTTACAAATGTATATTGGAATATTCTAAATTACAGTTGTCTATGATCGAGAGTTAACTAACTATATATAGCATAGTTAATTTACAAAATGTTCAAGATAGCTCGGGAAAGAGTTAAATTGTATTAAATTGGTAAACTGAGAAAATAATTTAAAAATGTACTCAACATAAATCTATCACAAGTCTTAAGCCGTCTATCTCTCAATTATCACAAAATAGTTTATAACCAGCGCAGAATATTTCAATCAGTCGATGGACTGCATCAGCGATTATCAATCACGTGGATAAATACTACTGACATAATTATTGCAGCTTGACACAAAGCAACAAAGAAACAGAATAATAATAACAAGAACCTTGACATCACATTTTGGCTTGCAGCACGAAATAAAAATGTCAATTTAAATAAGAATTCCCGATGCAAATCAATCAGACTTCGACCATAGCCATCGAGTCGACTAAAGCAGTTGATGTATTGGCTGGGTCTGTGATTTCTGGCTGATGACTGGCTGGCAGGCGATTTTCGCAAACATGTCACACAGTTTACAGTTAAGAGATGACAAATTCATTTTTAACACGCGGCCAGAGTGAAACCCCGACATGATGGACCAACAAGCATATAATCATCGCCACGTCTACAATGAGCCATTGCAGTGCAGATTTCGCCAGTAAAAACCACCACATGCAAAAGTCGCTTATGTATGTGGCATGTGGCATGGCCGACTATCTGACGGTCTGGCACTCTGTGTGCCAAGTGACGTTTGGCTGTCAACGGCCTCCCCAAAAAAAAATATAACTCAAAAGTCGTAACGTGTGTATCTGTATCTTGTATCTGTGTCTGCAGCATGTGTGCCCCGCTTGCTACGCACCTCATCACCCAGATAAATGTACAAAATTAAAGATTCTCCTGCTAAACGGAAGCTTAGCCAGAAAAAAGGTCAAGTCCAAAATGATGGATGATGCCATGACACTCTCACACTCTCGCACTTGCACACACATACACACACACATACACACACACACACACGCACATGACACCCCAATCGACGCGGAGATGAATGAAATGGCTGAGTGACATTTTGTGCTGTCTCCCTGAAAGGTCTATTAAAATTGTTGGGTGGTTGCAAATTCCAGCTCGTTTTAAACACTTATTCTTATCTCTCACTCAGGTAGTACGTGTTGTGCTTGACTACCTTGTGGCAATATCCGTTGAGTCGCAAAGCGTTGCAAAAACTTTTTCACCATCATAATTTTTATCGTGCCATTCATCGCATAAATAATTCTGTTAACATTTTCAACAAGCCACAAATTAAAACTACAAAGCACTAAAAATTCGTGCCTGCAAAATTTACGACCAACGGAATCACGTGTCATCCACGCGCTGCATGCCCCCAGCCCAGCCCAGACCATACCATCCCATCCTATCCCATCGTATTGCATCCCATCCGCAGCTGATATGATGCATGACTCGACGGAAGGCGAACTCGTCGGCAGACTTAAGGATTCGAGTTTCGGATTCAGGATTCACGTGCTAAGCGTATGCGAATTTAAATCTGTTTGAATACGGAATCCTTGAAGCCTTTTTTGTGGTTCGCTATTTGAATATAAAACAGTGGGAAAGACACACACACACACATACACACACACACACCCCTGCGTCAGTCGATGACAAACAGAAAATCCATTTCACACAAACATTAGTTTTATTTAAATCGCAGACAAGCACACACACACACATACACGCACACACA